TTGGAGTCAAGACCCGTTCCCAAAGTCCTGGTTCAGGCAAACCTCCAGCCCCTTTCTAAAGTCCCGGTTCACGCTTCTTGGGCGCGAGTGTCTCGTTCGAGCATGGGGCTGCGCGCGGTCTCCTGGTTGTGCGTGGGGGCAGCGCACTGTCTCCTGACTGTGTGCAGGGGCATGCGCGCTGTCGCGTGCCCATGCGCGAGGTCTCCAGGCCGTGCGCGGGGGCAGCGTGCTGTCGCACGCCTGTGCAAGCTTTCTCCTGGCTGTGTGCGGGGGCTGCGTGTTGTCACACGCCCGTGCACGCTGTCTCCTAACAGTGTGCGGAACGTCCTCCGGTCCAGCGTCGTCCTTCACCATTGGTTCCCGCCCGTACGTTCCCAAGTCCAGATGCCCTCCTCTGCTTTCCTTGTGCGCCCGTAGTACGCATGTGGGAAGTGTCTGGATCTTGGGCCCGATTCGACTTTTATACTTTGTCGGGCTCTTTTCGAAGTGTCCCTCAGGCCCCGCATGCTACGAGGCTGCCGACAAGTTGCAGCGCCCCGGTACTGTGGCTCCCCTCGAGCCTATGCCCGGGTCTGTTTGGGCCCCCAAAAAGGTTTTTAGTGAAGGGGGCCTTTTTGTCGGGTACCGGTATTTTGCAGCGCCCTGGTACCAAGGCTCATTTCGATCCTAGGACCAAGCCTGTTCAGGCTCTAGTGGTCCCCACACAGAAAAGTACCAAGGCCTTGCCAATTTGCGTAGGGCCTGACCTCAGATTTAATTATTTTACGGCCCGAGGCCCTTTTTCCCAACCTTAGGCCCGCAGGTCCTTTTGGCTTTATACCTAGGGCCTGAATGTCGAGGCCCGTGCGTCCAAGTTGCATTTTCTTCTCTATATTGATCCCATGATGAACTCCGGTGTCAACCGGTGCTTAGTTCGCCCGAGGGTTCGCCTTAGAGCGCAGCGCCCACGTTTGATTGGCCCATTGCTCGACATTGGCCTCTTCACTCTTGTGCCTTGCCCGGAGTCTCTGGCGTTCTCTTCCACAACTGTCGCGCTTTTATACCTTGGGCGCGACGGTTCTCTACAGTGTCCATAAAAGAACGCTCACCCATCCTTTGTCGTCCACCTTCACCCTGATGCGTCGTCCTCGATACCCACGACATGAACCTGGTACCTCAATCCCTCGATGTCGGCCAGACCCTTTTTGGTACATTTGGTAAATCCGGTATCCTCCAAGTGTTATCTTCAAGGAAGTAAAGGGCGGTGTAAGGCTGGAGCCMCCCGACAGCAGCCCCCCCCCCCCATTCTCGACGTCCCCGGCGAGCCATCTCGACATATTAAGGAAAAAGACGAGGAAGAATTGTTGACTCCTAATCTCTACCAATCAACCCAAGATTATGCTCACCGCTTTCGTCGGGTCTTTTCGCTCGTTTCTTTTTCTCGCCTCGCTTTTTCTTAATCATCTTCCTTTTGACCCCTAATCGCTTCTTGGCTTTTCGTTGTCTCTTCTGGCGGTTGTGTCTATCCCTGCCTCTGTCTATGACTATCGCACCGTTCATGTCCTCCCTAACTTCAAGTTTCCTCTCTCGCCTCTGCGTGGCCGACTCTAAGACCTTTGGTCTCATTTCCTTTATGACTTTCCTCCGGCTGTTTCTGACGCCTAAGACCTTCTTTCGCCTCCTTTTCGTAGGTCTTTTGGAGGTTTCACCTGTTTCGTAGGTGGATGACTTAGGCTCTTGCGCGGGTTCTATCAGGGGTTCTTCAGAAGGTTCTTTCGGCTTCTCTTCAACCTTCTTTTTCCCCTTGTCCTTCTTCAAGATCAGGCGGAACTTGTTTCGACTCTCTCCCCCTCGACTCTCTCCCCGTTCCCCAAAAACCTTCAAGCGTGCACCAGACACGGGCTCTTTCCACCTATCTCCATCTAGTTCCTCGAGGAAGTAAGCCCCCTCTTCTAATCTCTTGGTCATTTGGTAGGGTCCCATCCACCGATTTGCCAGTTTTCCTGACCACGTCCTTTTTAGAGCAGAATCGTAGAGTAAGACTAGGCTCCCAGCAGGTATACCCTCTTGCCTAACTTAGAGGTTTTTATCCCATCTTTCCTTGTCCTTTCCCCTATGGACTCTCAGTTTTTCAACGACTTTCAGGGTGCTATCCTCCAATGCCTCCGCTATTTGCCTAATTCTGGCTCCTAGTAACTGCTCCTTAGTCGATACCTCTTCCCAGTCATTCCTTGTCGACGAGTTGATATAAAAAACTCTATGGGTAATGGATAGTGCCTCCCGAACCATAAGGTGTAGGGGGGTACCCAGTGGTTGCTCGGACAATAATGTTATCCGCCTAGACCGCGAATCTCAAATACTTTGGCCGCTTCTTCTCTCTCCCCACACACCATTTGGCAAGCGCGTTTACTAGGGATTGATGTCCCCTTTCTACAGGGGCGTTAGGCTGAGGATGGTATGTCGTGGACAAGGATATACCCGAATCCCTGTTTTTTGGAGCAAGGTCTGGACTTCCTTAGCCATGACCTCTGACCCCCTGTCCATGAGGATCTTCCCGACACATCCATATCGAGTGATATATTCTGTCAGATGCTTGCTGACCGCTCTTCCCGTCTTCTGACGCAGCGCCCATGCTTCTACGGAACCAGTCAGGTCATCCCTGATATCCATGATATAATTCATTTCTCCCTCACCTTTGGGCATCTTGACCAAGTCCACGTGAACTTTCTGTCCTACAGCGATCGGGCAAGAAGGAAACAGTGCTTTCGTGTATTTGACTACTGCGTTTTTTTGACGTTCTACGCATGTCTGGCAGTAAGAATCTACATCTCTATATAAGTCGTCCCACCAGTAAAGATTCCTGACCTTCTCAAAGGTCTCTTTTACTTCTCTATGTCCTCCATCGATCCCAGCGTGAAGCTTGACAATTATCTCTTTTTGTTCTTCCTCATCGCATACTACCCTCATCGGCATACTGTTCTTAGGTGGTATCTTAAAAAGGTGGCTAGTCTTAAGACAATACTGCTCAACCTCTTTCCTGAGCTTATCATCGGCCTCCATCTCCCCTAAGAGATATCGCCCTATTTGGTGGTACTTATCGGTATAGAGGCTCTCCAGGAACGGAACGACGACACTAGTACTAGCCTCCATCTTTACCGAGCCTATTTCCATTTGTAAGAACTTGTCGACCTCTCCTGGCGATCCGAAGTCCCCTTCTTCTAGCGTGATTCGCGACAACCCATCTGCAACCGCGTTCTTGGCCCCAGATATGCGCTCAACCTCATAGTCAAACATCCTTATGTGCATAAGCCACCTGGTTATCATAGGGTCTGTCAAGGAGAAATCCTTTTGTAACACAGTAGCCACTGCCGTAGGATCGACCCGCAAAACGAGCCTCCGCTCGTAAATGTAATGTTTGAAAACGTTCAAGCAATATAACACCCCGATAACTTCTTTCTTAAACTGGGAATAGTTTCTTTCGGTGGTGTTAAACGTTTTACTTTTGAATCCAAGGTTTTTTTCCTTACTGCGAGAGTCTTTCTGAGCCAAGACCCCCCCAATAGATGTTGGTCCAGCGTCAGTGCATACTACGAATGGTCTTTTCTCTTCATCTTCAAAATAGGGAACTCCAAGGACTTGAACCCCTTCCTTAAACTCGTTCTTTAAGATTTTTACAACATCTTCTTGCTCACTCGTCCAATTCCACTCTATCCCTTTACGTAGTAGCCTTCTTAACGGCTCAACTTTTTCCGCATATCCTTTTATGAAATTCTTCCAGAACCCGAGCACTCCTAAAAACTAACGTATATCGGTAATATGTCGGAGCGGCGTAGGCCAGTTCATAAGCTTTTCTAGCTTCGCCGGGTCCGGTCGCCTGCTGTTTTTGCCGCAAATATAACCCAATATCTTGATGGAGGAGACGACCCACCTACTTTTGGGCCCACTCACCATGAGATTTGTGTCCTCTAGCTTCACTAACACCCTTTTGATGTCCTCGGCGTGGGTTGCAACGAACTTACTCACTCCGGGCCTCACCTCAGTTTCATCCTTTTCGACCCTTTGATCGGAAAGTCGTTTAGGAAAACTTCTACCAAATTCGGTATAAGCGCTCCCAACACCGCGACCATCGCTCTTTGAAAGACTGCAACGCCATTAGTCCACCCCATCGGTACTACCATCATCTGGATTAATCCTAATAGGCGTGTGCATCGCAGTTAGGTGCCGATCTCTATAGTCCAGCGGGATCTCATCGTACCCTGAGAAAAGATCGCAGATTGAGTAAATCGAACACCCAGCTGACCCTTCGGACAAGAGATCTGGATTTGGGATGAACCTAACATCCCTAATCGTAACTTTATTCGTTTTCTGCAAATCTTGTATCCACCGTAGCTTCCCATTTGCCTTCCAATCTCACACGGTTCATCCACGAATGTCCCGATTTTCTCCTTCAGGAAATCTACTATCATCTCCTTTTCCTTCTGAGCACACTTTCATCCCGCATCATTCCATGACACATGTGGAACCGTATAGATCCTTGCCGGTTTAGCATATCGCGGATCTATTTGTTCCCTCTCCGCATTACAGAAGGCTACGACCTTATCAAAGACTCTTAGTGTCTCGATTATCAACTCTCTCTCCTCCTTGGTTATATTCCCATCGCCTATACTCATCCCTTTCAACCTTTCTTCAGTAATTCTTTGCCCTTCAGTGGCCTTGCGTTCCCTGATCATCCGGGTTATTTCCTCCTCAGTGATCCCTATTTCCTTGGTCCTATCACGACTAATCGCAGTCGGTTTAACTTTTTGGGCTACAGTTTTGTATCTTTTCCCTCCGCCGTGTGGGGGAATTCCTTCAAAAAACACATGTTTATGCACCCTCCGAACTCATCGTCGTCGCTTTCTTTTGGGTAAACAGTTCCGTTTACCACATATTTGTCGTTTAAATCTTCGACTTCCATCCTCTTTCCTTTCAATTTATGAGGCCCTAAGGTGAGTTCTTCGGGAACCATCTGGCAGCTCCGCGTCATTAGCTGACCTTTACTCTGCAGGGAAACTTTGTGATGTTTGTCCAACTCATTCACGGTCTTTAGCGTAACCCTACCACCCTCAGGTCCATCTATGGTGAATGTTTGACTTTCGTCGGTGGTGATGTTGACATGTGTGCTAAGTCCTCCCAAGGATTAACTCTGATGAACTATGCTCCACCATGAAAACTGGCACGGTAGCCTCAACTCCAGCCACCACAACACTGACCTTATGACATACCCCAAGCGTCGGCTGCCTGAACTGGTTAGCTGATACCATAGTCATGGCGACGCTCCTATCCATTTCTAGCCCAAGCTTCCGCGCTACCTTGTCCTCGCAGACGGTAGATTCCGACCCATCATCCATAATAACCTCTGTTCTAACTCCATTCACAGTGGCGTTTAGTTTTCCACTACCAAGGATGTAGAAGTAACTGCCCTCTTCCTCAACGGTCTCTGCATCTTTCTTTCCTCCTTTTTCAATTGTTAATATAGAAGTCTTCGCCTCCACTCTAGGGTCTCCGGTGGCCGTTGCCTCTAATAGTGGCACCTTTGCTTTCTTCATCATCCTTATCAATTCATCTCTTGCAGGCCCACAACCAACTATGAATTCCTTGAGAGTGATAGGGATAGGCATATCCATTGCTCTTCTCAAGGGGTTCCCTTAGGTCGACTATGTCCAGGGTGCTCTTCAAATGAAACCTCTTGGCCCCCCTTTTCCTTGGGGACAGTGGCGACTTGGGCGACTTCACCTGTTCATCTCTCATTCGTTGATCCGGATCCTCTTTCTTCCCGTGACTTGATTCTCCAACTCCTTGGGTACAAACGAAAGCCTCGCTATCGCTCATTGATTCCTCAAACTTAATAGAGGAGATCCCTATTCTCGGGCTCTCAGGTGCGTTATCAACCTCTTCTTCGAAGGTCACTCTAGAGACCTTCATTGCCAAGGGAACCTCCGCCTGTTTAGCCTTCGCCTCATTCATTCTCCTTTTTCGGATATCAACGTTAATCTTCATTGAAGGCAAGAAGGGCACAGGCTTCCCTTCATCTGCCCATATCACATACTTTTTATCATCTAGTTCGATGATCCCTTCCTTTAAGGCATCTAACATGGCCTGACAGTCCCTCTTCCTGTGGTCCTCATCGCCACAATACATGCAAGCCTTATAATTCCATGTTCTTCTTGGACTAGGGTCTCCTTTTTCTCGACCTTCTGGTCGCGGACTAGCCTTAACAGGCGGCTCTTTTTTTCTCTGATTGCTGTTTTGTAACTTCTCCATGGCTGCCTTCAGCGCCTCTACTTCTTTTGCCATTTCTTCCTATCGTTTTTCTGGTGTTTTGGCCTATATTTCATCCTTGGACTTCCACGAGCTGTCTTTCGCATTGGACCAGTTAGAGGTCCCCCATTCCCGTTCGTTTCTCTTCCAATCTCCTCGGTTCCCTTTCCTCCATTCACCATCACTCCTACTTGGCTCTCCCTTTCTAGGTGAACTCGAATTTGTCTCTCCCTTCCACTTCAGCTTTCCTACCCTCAGTTGAAGCCTTCCTCCTCTTCTTCTCGAAGTTATTCCCTTTCCTAGGTTACTCGGACTTTCAACATATGCGCCTTGGCGCTCTACCCTTCCGTATCGTGAGCTAAGGTCTTGCGCAAATGTCACGCTTTTGGAGGAGAGTTCCCTCACAACCATCTCACGCCTCTCTCGCGGTAAGGACCCTAGGAATATTCCGCATCTTTTTATTTCTCCCATAAATCCTCCTTCCACTAGCTAGTTTGAGGCCTTCTCGTATATTCTCGCGAATGCTACCAGGCTCTCATTCTCCTCCGTCATCTCTTTTAGATCCTCCACAGAGTACGAGATTTCATCACATGGGAAGACCTTGGTAACTTTCTCCCTGAATGTCAGCCAACGACCATCGTCAAGAATGGCGCTCTTCACTTCTCGATCTATCTTGGGTGCAGTATGGTGGAGGAAGTTTGCAATTATCTCCTGATCAGTCCATTCCCCTCTCATTCCAATAACCTCCCAGTCATCCAGAAACTCGGAGATGTTTTGTTCCGTGAAGATTGTTTGAGTTCCTACCAACGCCGGTGGTTGGTATACCGGTCCCCCAAAGAAAGGCGGCACATAGGGGCCTGACGCGTACTCCATCGAATAAGGGCTCCTTCTGTAAGGTTCACTAGGGACTTCTCTCCACGTGTCCCTAAGTCTTGAATCGGTAAACCTCGACACTCTGGCCTAGTCAAGACCTCTCTCCTTTAACCTTCTCCTTTTGCGCTCAGCCCTTCCAGCTCCCTGGCCTGAATCTCTAATTTTCTTAAGGCCTTCCTTAGTTTCTCTGCGTCATTTATAGACTCCACACCCATCTTCCTTTCAGGGCTGTTAGTCCTTGACTCTTGCGTTTTCACGTCACCCCCTATCGAAGTCAAATAAGCTCCCTCGACATCCATCTTTCTGACTAATCCTCAGATACTCGACTCAAGGCCGCCAAGATTCTGTCAATCGAACCCTCTAGAATTTCCTGTAATGCCTCGAAGTCAGTGTCCCTTCCTTCAACGTTGACAACTAAAGAAGTGGTCAACACAACCTTTGAATAGCGCAAGTTAGCCTCCAAAGTTCTCAACGAAACCCTATCGACTATGTCGTTAGAAAGCTCTCCGAGCTCCCTGGCGTCTTCTCTTAGTTTTGTTCTCGTCGGCTATGGTTTCTTGCCACTCTCGGAAAAATGCCTCCCCTTCCAACGATATCGTGTGGATCTCAATCTTGGCTAGTTGAAGTTCGTCGGCCGCTTTCCAGATAGCACATATCGTTACTTCTTTAACCGCCTTTCTAGCGGATTCAGCTTCCTCCTCCTGACTCAACCTTTCATCGTGTATCACTTCTACTCTAGCCCGCACCAAAGACCCTTCTATCTTTGCTCCTCCAATCAGTTGATACTTGTTCATCTCTCCTCGACTGCTAGCCATCCCTCTTCTCGACTTCGTTACGAATCTCTCTCATTCTTCTAGCCAAAAAACGTCGATTGAACTCCAATGACCGACGTTATCCTTCCGGTGAAAGACACCCTATTCACTTCCTCCTCTTCAGTCACCGCTCCCGGCATCGCTCTCGGTCTCACTCCTGGTCCCAGTAGAGCCACTGGCCGTCGGTTCACTGCCTTTAATCCTTCGTACAAACTCTATTATTGCCTCCCATCCATTCCTTTGGAGCGCGACCATGCTAGGCTGAGGTTTAGGTATCCCTACAAAAGACACTACGTCCGTGCTCCACACATGAATCTCACCGTCCCTTTCCAATCTCCTCTTCTCTTCTACGACTATCCCGACGGCCCGTTCCCAACAACTACCGCGCCGTTTCTCTCTATACCTGTCCTTTGGCACATAGATCCGCGCGTCGTACTTGTCAAGATCAATGAAGTAGCAGGTCAGTAGATAAAGGCATTCGCCTCCCCAACCAAGCTTCTTCAAAGCCTCGTATCTCACAATCACGTAAGGGAAAACCTCTCTCGGAGCTAGCTTGTTCAAAGAGTCCAGAAGCCGCTTCTCCTCCTCTCTACTTAGCCTACCAGCCCCCCTCCCTTGAGGGAACCAGGGTCGGAACGACAAAATCTCACTCATGAGGACCCTTACCCCTTTAGTTCTTCTCTGCCCTCAATATAACTCTCTCTCCCTCCTTTGTCTCAAACTTCGGGTTTACCTTCTATTCCAAACAGGCCAGTGTCAAGGTAAAGTTCGCCCTCTTGCCCCTCAACGCACGCGACACCTCTCCTTATCTCCACTAATCCAGTTTCAGCGCACCTTGACGTCCTACAGATCAAAATCCCTAACACACACAAGTTCTCGTGAGACCATACTTTTAATAGTCGGACTATCTCCCATTTTAGCCCTTCTCGAATTACGTTACCGTTATCGGATCGGAAGTCACCATCTCTGGCCGTTAGCGGCCTGATGTCGCAAGATGAATTCAATCGTAGTTTCCAGGCTTTCGTCTCTCATTACTTCGTTGGGCGTCGGTGGCTTAGGAAGTCACTCAAAGATCGTTATCCGCGTTCTCCAGACGACGGTCTTGCCCAACAAAAGCAACCTATCCCTTTCATCTTCCACCACTTCTCTCGCTGTTTCCCAACATCGACCATAAACAAGGTCAACCTCCCTCTCTATCGGTAAATAGATCTGCATATCGTGCACTTCTGTTCCGAGGAATCGCACAGTCATTACATAGAGGCGTATCTGCTCCCAACCGCTATCCACTAACTCGTATGTCTCAACTTCGTACGAAATCGGTTCTCTCCTCCCTAAGGAACTTAGTGACGCACGGACAACCTCAAATTTTTCTTTTGGTGACCTATTCCCTGAGAGAACTTCTCTCTCCTCACTTCCAATTCTTCACTCGAAATCCATTTTTCTTTACTCGTCACTCACCTCCCCCAGCATCGCGCCCAGAGTACCATCTTTAACATAGGCTCCCAGTTGCTCCCATCAAGGTAACTATCGGGAATAGGCGGACTAGGGGCAACGTTGTATTCCCTTGCCTTTATTCCTAGGGCAAATCTCTTTCCTTCCTTTTCCAACCTTCTCTTATAGGTGTAAGCTATCGTCTTTGCCCAATTCCGGCACCCCCACAATGTGCCCGTCGGTCTCCTTCCTCGCCGATTGTAAAGCCCTATATTATACTCGTTAGCTTCCACAAACTTGGCCACCAATACATAAACCTTTTCTTTTAGCTCAATATTCACTATCCGAGTATGGTACTCAATTACGTACGGGAAAGGGTCACCCAAAGTCAAGGGAGTCCAGTCTTTCAGTAAGGCTTCAATGGTCAGATCAGTGGACGATGGTAACCCCCAGTTTACCCCTTCTTCCCAAGAGAGTCTACTCGTCAAGAGCGCAGTCATTTTTAGCCTTCGAACCCCTCCGGACCCCTATTCTTGGCCATTGCTCTTTAGCACATCTCTCGATCTCAATCTCATTCCTGAAATACCCTATCCTTTCCTCGGGAAAATCCCGTACATCTTCCCACTCCTCAGGGCTCTCTTGCACTTCTTCCCACTCTTCCTGGACCCAATCTTCTTGGACCCAATCTTCCTCGCCATATTCCTCCTTGTCTTTTGGCTCTAGGGGGCGATAGTTGAAATACAACTTTAATGGATTTATGAGTGGCCTTACTCTATCGACGTTGTCAATGTCCCAACTCCCGAATAATTCCGTAAGCCCTGTCATGTACAAGGGTGGCTCTCGGATTGCCTTGTCAAAATTAACCCAAAACTCGATCGACCGATCCTCTATGGGAGCTTCCCACAAACTCCTTGGCGAGGCTGCTTTGATCAGCTCTACTAGCTCTAACACCGAGTCGCCGGACCTAGGTCCCTCGTTCCACAACGCGTAATATGCGTGATGTTCGTCACTACTCCTCAAAGAGGCCCTGGATCTGGAGGAACGCCCAGTGGACTTGAATCAGACGATCCAACCCCCCAAGGAACGCTTCCAAAACGAAGATCGGAATGGGAAGTCTCAATGCCCCTTTCAGACAGCGGTAAGAACCCTTCCTTGGCAAGCCGGAGGGAGACAACTACCGTCCTAAAATCCCTATCCCAACGGAGCTCCCCTTTTCGGAGTTTGCCAACCTCGTCCTGTAATATGCCTCGGACCCTTACCTCGTCCTGCCAGGTATAAGGGTCGAGACTCGACACTGTTCCTAGGTCCGGGTCCTGATGGCTCTGTTCTACTGCCTTTAAAACTATTTCTGCCAATACAAAGGTTTGGTAGTAAAGGTAGCCCTTCACCACTAACACGAGCGAATCCGCTATCACTCTCCCTCTCCTATCCCGGTCGAATCCCACCGAAGCTACGACCAACAGCTAGACCCCTGGTCTTAATAAAATTGACCTCCAAATCCTGTTTACGTTCCCCTTGTCGGGTGTTCGGATTGCCCTCCCAGGTAAGGTAAATTCCACCCAGTCCTCGTTAATGAACTCGGGCTCCTTGTACCTGAATTGACGGAACTCGACGGGAGACTCTTCACCGTACTGAGGCATTTAGTCCTCCAGTGGCTCTGTGTCCAATATCCTAGCCCTGTCAGTCTCACCTGAGGTCACCCCTCGACGTAACTCCGCTCTAATTCGAAAAAAGACCCGCCTTAATTCCCTGCGAGTAGGGACAGTTCTATATAGATAGTAAGTGGCTAGCCACGAGAGCTTTGCCACTGAAGGCCTGAATTGAATAGCCGTCCTGAGCGTTCCCACCAACCTCAGATGATTGTCAACACTCCCAAAGATGAACCCGGTCAAGAACCTAGGGACAATTGTAGCTCTAACTACCGTAGCTCGGGGGAGCTCCTAGTCATATGCATATCGGACCTTATACTGACCAA